TAATGTACTAGACTATATTATTTGAAATTGATTTTTTTTTTTTAAATTATTTCATTTTAATGTTTCTTCCTAGGATTATAGAGTTAATGTTTCTTACAAAGGCCTCCATATTGTGAGCAGTGCAAGCAAGGCAGGCGAAGGATTACTTGAATAACTAAACTATTTAGCATTCAGTTCTAATGTGTCATGGAGACTTCGATCTCAGCTCAACTCCTTCATCCGGTCTACCCTAGCCTATACAAATACTTTGTTCACTGCTTTTTTTTTTTTTTTTTTTTCAAGGGGAGCAAATCAAATAACCAGCTCAGAGAGTTTATATCCCCTCAGCATGTGTACATTATGCTTTTTTTTTTTTTTTTTTTTTAAATCAAACTGGCTTTGTACCTTTGTTGTGGCCTAAATAAGTGTATCGCTTTAGGGTATAGTAATCACTGAAGCTAATTAATACATTGATGACTGTTTCTTTCGTGTTACCATTCAAGGCAATTTCTGTAAAAGAGACCCAATTAGTTGCCAACTTGAACCAAGGAAATAAAAAAATATTACCTCTGCTTCAGGCATCAAATATTGTGGAGTTTTGGGGTTACTTTCAGCTTGTATTTAGTTTTAGCCCCTAGATATTTGAATAATTGAATGGCTTTTAGTGTATCATTGTTGTTTTTATTAATTATAAAAAGCTGTTGACTATGTTCAGTGTCCAAACTTTTACAAGTGTGAATTATTGCTTTACTTTAATACTAAACCATGTGGCATCCACTTTAAAAGCATGTATAGAGACATAGTTGGATCTATACACAAGCATATTCGGTTGATGGGTAAGTTTTCTTACTTTGGAAACATAGGGGCTCGTCTTAGCAGTGTGAAGTTTATGGAAGAATTACATGTGTGAGAATGTCAGGGTTTGACCTCTAGTGAGCTCATTTGTTGTGGTTGAGCACTCTGTGCTACCGTACTACAATTGGAAGGAAGCTTTTTGTATGTTTAATATTCTAATGACTAACAGACATTAATATGTTTAAATGCACAAGTTGAACCACCCGATTTTATTGCTGATGTCGAGAACTTGTTTGCTATATAATTATGTAGACATGAAATATGTTTGTATACAAGGCCTTCTGGAATGTCTTGTTGTGTCGAGATGAAAGATGTTTGTCTACTAGGCCTTCTGGAAAGTCTTGCTATGTTGACATGAAAGACTTTTGTGTACCAAGTCCTTAGGAAAGTCTTGCTATGTTGACATAAAAGATGTTTGTGTACCAAGTCCTTAGGAAATGTAAACCTACTCTGTGTATTCAATTCAGTCTCTAAGGCAGCCCTTGAGCACTTCATGTAAAATTATTTTTGTATAATCTCCTTTCTATTTAACTCTTTCTTCTTCTGCGTTATCATTATTTTTTTGTTGGAGGGTTCAGATGACTATAGAGCCAATATCTGAGATGAACAACCTAGTGGTTCCCAAATCAGGCAGCTCCCCATAGTTTTTTTTTTTTTTATCTTTAAGAGGTGTTATGAGGCCAGTGTCTTATTCTGGCCTCTTAATGAAGCATGCAGTCTTGAAGGATTGGGCAGCATTCTCTGGTGACACTCCACAAAGTCCCATCTTTCAGCTTTTGCAGCATACCAGTATGTGGTCTCATCATGTTGTGTCCAGTTCTGAGGCGAAAGATTAGATATTGATCATGTTGGGATAACTTATAATAGGCGTCGTCTTGCTTGTGATTCACATGAGAGCTTGTCCGTTTCTCATTTATTCTATTCACTATTAGTTTCTTCAGTTTTTCTGGGTAGAGTGCAATTTTTAATGTTGTATCTCTTCACCCACACTTGGCAAGTGTGTCAGCATTCTCATTTCCTTCAATTTCAATATGTGCTGGTATCCAGAGCCATTGAACTCTATTGACTCTCTCTCCAGGTTTCTTCATTGAAAAGTCTGTACTAAAATATTCAACTTTCATTTTTTTAAAAACAAACTGTGTGTTGTAGCTATTACTATGACTACTTAGCCTTCACCTTAGTACATCATGATGATGCTTGTTTTCTTTTTATACTGTCAATGTAGGGTCAGGGTTGTGGGGCATGATGGACTTGTATCAAACAGGCAGCCTTTGTTTGTAATGTGTATACAAAATATTGAAATATTTAAATTCCATCTGTTCTTTGCTAAAATACTTGATAATTTTGTTCCATTGCTGCTTCTGCTTTGGATCTCGTAGTTTAAGCTTAGGAGTTACATAGATTTCGTCTTTTGACTTGAACATGACCATTTGCAGCAGTCTTGGAGGAATGTTATAATTCAAACCTGGGACTTGAGTTTGCTTGCAGTAAGTCTATATGTATGTTCATCTTTGAATATGTGTGCATTGATACTAAAACGTATGCTAAATTGAATGTATCTCTGAGTCATTGATCTCCATGATTTTAAAAATCTCTTTAATCAGGTTGTTGTTTTCTTTTTCCCTTGTATCAGTAAAATGAAAATTGATTTCTTTAAACTGTTAAGTCTTAGAACTAATATTTATATATGACACCTGATAACTCTTTTGTCACAATTAAATTGACAGTAAGAGGCTGCCTGGCTAAAGGCTTGGGTAGCTAACAGTTGTTTAGGATGTACCTGACAGTTGGGTATTCGAAGGCTATTTGGTTTGCATGCTGGCATGGGATTTAAACGTTTAGTTTTAGTTAGCACAAATATTTTAATATTTACTTCTGACACCAGCAGCCATCTTTAAAGTTTCTAGTTAAGTAAATGCCTGTTTTCATGTTGCTCTGCCTCTGAAGGAAGAGAAAATGTATCCATTTTTTTGTTTATAGCAGCTAGGCTAAGAAAATGGCTCCATCTATAATAATAAACTCTGAATTATTTTATAAATGTACACATTGTTTATTTGTTGAGTGCCCTCCTTTAGGATGCCCAGTTTGAACATTTTGTGTGTAGGTTTGTCACAACTGTACTATCAAATGGTATTGAGAACTACTGCACTTGTATTAGTTATTATACATATTTTTTTTTAAACGAGTAACCTTCTCTTGAATCACTGACACTTATATCAGTGTGTGATCATACCAGGGAACCTACAAATGTCCCATTAAAAAAATTGAAAAAGTGTCTTTGTTTTGTTTCATTTTTTGTAATTAAAAGATAATTGTTAATGTAAAAATGTGAAATTTTGAAAAGCTGCCTGGCCATGCTCTGGACTATCATTTTGATGCTCCTGAGTTTGAACACTGCCTTGCCCTGCTTCCATTTGAGAATGAACAAATACCTTTTTTTTGTGGTTGGAGAGTTTTAAATGTTTAGTTTTAGTTAGCACAAATATTGGTATATTTACTTCTGACACCAACAGTTAAGAAATGCTTATTTCAGGCTTTGCCCCGCCTCCCATTAACCCTTAAAGTGCTGAGCTTTTCTTCAAGAGTGCATACAAAATGGAATTACAATTCTAGTGTTTTGAGGCTAAACTACCACACGCGTCTAAAGGGTTAAGGAGTTTTGGGCAAGGATGTAATGATCTTCAATTCTGAAGGAACATATGAAACAAACATATTGTTTTATCATTTATGACCAAGAGTAAGTTTGTTGTATACAAAATTCTTTGCTTAATTTACCCTGGTTACAAGTTATCATAATCTACATTATCCAAACTCGTTTCTTAACTGCACACTTGACTGGCTGTACACAAAGTTTAGTTCTGTTTAAAGTAATAATTTTATTTATATCCCAATATTTAGAGCAGTTTCAGATACCATTTTTTCAGGACTGAATGATAAAAAACATATTGCAAACAACTGATTATTACAATTATTAGGAAATATCACGACAGGATATATTTTCATACAGACTAGGATTTTATGTTTCCCTGTTATGAATGGTTTGATATGTTGGAGTTGGACTAATAGACAGCATCTGGCAATCGAGAGATGAGGTTACATGACAGAGCAGTGAAATTACAGCAAGTCATATAAATTATTCCGTTTTTTGGCACTAGTCAACAACAGCAAATCTTCAACTAGAGTACCATGTACAGGGGTCTCACAAGTATGTGTACTTTCTCTGGTACACTCTTTACACCAATGACCTAAGAAGCCGCCATGTCTCAGTTAAATGATACCGCCATAGCCAATCTTATTTCAGGAGACAAGACTCAACATCGAAGTTTGATAGATGACTTTACAAGCTGGTGCACTGTAAACTTTTTTACAACTGAATGTCACAAAAACTAAAGAACTCCTTAAAGATTTCAGAAGGAACAAACAGCTGCAGAAAAATAATATATAAAATGTGAAGTCATGCAGAGTATCTGGGTGAATGACGATGAAAATCACACAGCATCTATTTTTATAATACAAATTTAACAACTTTAAACTACATAACATCTTGGTTCAATTTTATAGTGTGTCAATTCAGAATTTATAACATATGCAATAACTTGTTGGAAAGGCCAACTTGGCATCTAAATTGGACAACCTTATAAAAAAAGAGCGTCAAAAACCACACACACAACCCTACTATATTTAAATGAACTATCTAAACAAAAACAAAGTAAGCAAAGTCTAAAAAAACTTTGAAGACAATGGCCACCCAATCCATTATAACCACATCAAGCAGGCGTGAAGTGGATGACTTCTGAACATCGAGACTAGAACTGAATGTACAAAAACGTATTCATCCCTGTGTGTAGTCACTCAATGAACTTTGTATGATGTGTATGTTCTCCTACATGGAGCTTTGTTTTTATTTTCATAATTTATTAATTAAAAAGAATTATTGTAATCACAACTAATTTCCAAAAGGATTTTTTTAAAGTCTATTTAATTGTATCAAATATATATATATTTTTTTATTAAAATAAAAATAAATTAACTCATTTTCTCAGAGGCTTTTCAACAATATATCATTTTAAAATTAAATAGAAAAATTTAAGAAGATTCATGGATTTTACTTGTACATAATACACAAATACTTATAGGAATCAATTGACTACATAACATCACACAGCTACAGAAAAAAAAAATCAATGACAAAAAAATAATTTGACATTTTCTAATATGCCTAAAAATGGCAACAATCTTAGCTTTAATCATTTCCTACAGGATACAAATTTACTCCAATTATGTATAGAACAAAATATTATTACAGTGCATTGGGAATCCTGTGACAAATATGCAAAACGCATAAAACTTTTGATAAAACATTATCTTATCATATAAGGCCATAATTAAAATAGTACCGCTTTAGGTTGCAGATAAATATATCTATGAGCTTTTACATCTGGATGCATATAATAAACTGAGAAGACATAATACTATGACACAATAATGTGCTACTTAGTATTGGCTGCCATTCCAATCAGTCAAAAACTCAAAGATCTAGAAGCTTGAAAGAGAGGAGAGCTGCACAGAATGGAATGAACCAGTGCTTTGGCTTTAGGTTGAGATTAAATCCTGAGAGATTAAACAGTCGCTGAGTACTCTTTAGAAACAAAAACAAAGGCACAAGCAAATACATCAATATTAAACTGAGATATGCTGAACATAAAAAATAACTCAAGTGCCTTAAATTATAGAAAACGATGACATCTGAGATAAGGCTAACATGCTTTTTTTTTGGCTGTTTTAGAGTTTCTGCAACAAACATTTGCTAGTTGTAGGATTAGGGACAAATTAAGATTTTCAGTCTTGGAACTAAGTCATTAGATTTTTCAAAAATTTGTTAACAAAATTTCAACTCAGAATTACCCTTAAAAGTTTGTTTTTTTTCCTCAATTTAACATATATTTTTTTAAAGTTTCTGATAAATCCCCCCCCCCCCCCTTTCCAGGCAGCTATAATGAAAGTAATGTGGTGGTGAGGGGGGGGGACTGAAGCAATGACATCTCTTGTTGTGTCCCACAACAGAAATACTATTTGGTAAATGATAAAGTGGATGAATGTATGAATCAAATGAGTGCCATCAAAGAGACTGTAACAACTGGCAGGAAACAGCACTGTGGATTAAAAAGAAACAAATGCCATATAAATAAAACAATGAACAAATGCCATTCATCTATTAAAACCAAACTTCCTGAACAGGTAACTTAAAACTACAAGGTTTAACTGAGTTACCAATCATAAATCCTTAATATGGTGGGGAAACATAGGTAAAAATGATATGTACAACTACCAAAGCTTATCACAATGGTTAATTAAGAAAGTACAATTAGTTCTGGATGAATGGTCTAGTCTGACTTTGCATCATCAGACTTTAAGAACAGCCCAGATTATTATTCACTCAAATATTGGTTTATTTTCATACTGTTTTAACAGTAACTGCATCAATAAATGACATGTTTTTAAAAGAGTTAAATATATAATATAAAAGTGTTTCAATTAAGCTTTTATAATAGTACACTTTTTGTCATTAAGTTGTCTTAAATAGGTTTAGTGGTAAGGTCAATGACACTAGCTGAAATAACCTGCCCAGTGTGCAGCTGAACATTCCAAGCTCAAGTAGGTCTTACCAGCCACATAAAGAGGCAGAAAAACCCACTGCAAAGCCCCCAGCCCCCTGGATGACAAAAGTGGTCATCATCAAACAAAGATGGATAAACTATAATGGTAAAATGCAATAAGAATCTTCACAACGTTTGCATGGCTATGCCTTGTTTTGTAGAACATTTCAATAAGGGTGTTTTTAGCTGGAAGATCTAAGTTCAATACAAGAGCTGTTGTGGGTTGTTTTTTTTTAAATAAAGATTCAAGCATCCAAACAGGCAAATTTAAAGCATTACATAGTAAAACAAATTTTGTTTCAAAAAGATTCCAATAGAAATTTTTTAAATGGTACAAGGATTGTGGATTTCAAACTAGTAAATAAAAATCAAAAGCTTAGTAATATACAAGTGTTTAAATATATTTCTCTGTAAATAAAATCAATGTCAAAATTACTTCTGCTTACAAATGACAAAGATGAAATCAAGTGAACATTAACTACACCAGTAAATGTTAAACTTCAAATATTTTTTTTTCCTTTTTCAGCATATTTACAATAAATAGAAATAATCAGTTCAAATGCATTATGTTGTGAACACAGGATCCTCTCATTTAAGAGTCAAAAAACTGTTTCCAGCAAGATTATACTAGAACAGTTTGTTATAAAAAAAAAAATAATGACATCATAACGAACTAAAAAAAATATGGTTGTCTTCACAACATATCTTTTAAAATTTTTTTAAAATTTATTTTAAAATGTGATAATTTGTTATTTTTTAAAAAATATTTCAATGACATCTTAAACATAGAAACATTGTAAAATATAATGTTTCTGAATTTGTCATTTAGATTTTATGATAACAATTATGAAAGCATTTAATCAAGCTTCCTTTTTTTTTAAAGAGGAGCCAATTTAGGCTTTTGATTATATTTTTTTTTTCTTCTTTGGTGCTTTGAACATTTAAGTCCAACTGAAGACATGATTATGTGAAAAAACATTTATATCAGAGAGGGATTTAAAAAAAACAAAAAAAAACTCTAAGGTAAAAGACAGAGAGAAATGGAGAAAGACAGTAGACAAATCTTGTGTGGTCCCCCAACGCTCCAAAAGACTAGGTGAAGGTGAGATATTGACAGTAAACTCAAACAAAACTATTTCCATAATTGCAAACAAAAAAATCTACTTTAGCAACAGCTTGTGTAAAAATAGAAACTGATAAATACAGCAGATAGAAAAATTATTGTAAATTTACTATTTACACAAAAGCTTTTACATTACAACAGAAAAAAATTAACTTGGGCAAGTGTGAGGCATAACATTAATACTACAGCAACAACAATATGTTGTTGTTTTTTTAACAAGATATTGCAACAAACAAGGATTTCAAACACACACAAGACAGAGTTCATAGAAATTTAAAAGTATGATGACACAAAAAAATATAATAATAGACTTCAGATCTTTTGGAAAGAAGAATTCCACAATGAAGATGTTTCCATAATAAAAATTAGTTTGTTTTAAAAGTATAGGCTTACATGTTAACAGACTTCAATCATTTCTTGAGTAGCCTGGGAATAAAGAGTTAAGTCATGAACAAACTCAAAATAGCCAATGGCCCAGTGGAAGATAAAACATTGAGGTAGTCCTAGAGCTTCAAAGTTTGAGGACTGCTGCATTAGAACATCTTTTCAACAACAATAAAAGTTTTAAAACTCAGATACAAATTTTTCAGTAAATAAATAATATTGGAAATGCTGTAGATCTAAGCTAGTACACACACTTGAACAATACCTAAACACACACACACAAGGGCCTACAGTAGCAACAAACTCAATACAAACTGTAGGATCCTTAAACGAAATTACTCCAGCACAGTAGTCCTAACTAGAACCTCCGTCACAGAATACGGATCACAGTTGGATGCAGGTCGTCTATCCTCCAGGTAACCATACCCATCTTCAGCAACCTGCGGACAACAATAACATTTTACAAAAACCAGTCAGTAAAAATAGTAAAGTTTTATGATCAATCTCTAGTCGATAAATTAATGAAACTAGATTGTGTAACTCATAATAAGATACTAAAGAAGAGAGAATCTTTCACCCTCTGATACATAAAAAGTATGGTATAGAAAAAAGAAGTAGACATGAATTGGATATAGGAGATAAAGAAGTACAAGAAAAAGGAATCCAAAAACTATTAGAGAACATCAAACGAAATAAAGCATCTGGACCTGATGGTATTCCTGCTAGATTACTCAAAGAACTAAGCAATGAGCTAGCACCAGTGTTCAAAATACTTTTTCAGGCATCGCTTAACCAGGGCAGAGTACCAAGCGACTGGAAAGAAGCTAATGTCACCCCTCTATTTAAAAAAGGAGAAAAATCTGAGCCAGGAAACCACAGACTAGTATCACTAAGCAGCATCACATGTAAAAAGCTTGAACACATAATATGTAGTAACATCATAAACTACTTAGACAAACATAATGTCCTTACTCCATACCAACATGGCTTTAGGAAATATAGATCATGTGAAACACAACTAATAGGACTAATTGATGATTTTTCAAAAGGTTTAGATGATCGTGAGCAAATAGATGCTATCTTACTAGATTTTTCCAAGGCTTTTAACAAAGTTCACCACCATAGTTTACTTAAAAAATTAAAATATTTTGTCATTGATGGTCCATTGCATCAGTGGATTTAAGATTTTCTGATAGGGAGAGAACAAACTGTAATAATAAATGTCTCTAAATCAACATCAATAACAGTAAACTCAGGTGTACCTCAAGGAACAGTCTTAGGTCCACTACTATTTTTAATTCACATAAATGATTTACCAAATTGCATTAATTCAGGAACAAAAGTAAGATTATTTGCAGAAGATTGCTTTAATATATAGAACAATAAAAAAAACACAAGATACAGAAATTTTACAAAGAGAATTAGATGAATTACAGAAATGGGAATCAAATTGGAGCAAGTCTTTCCACCCAGAAAAATGTCAGTTAAGAGTAACAAAAAAACTAAAACAAATTAATTCCACGTATCTTATTCATGGTAAACCAGTAACACAGACTAAAAACGCAAAATACCTATAAATCAAATAAGAACATAAAAATAAATTGTTATTTAACCTTGGTTTGTCCCAATAATAGAATATGCATCATCTGTTTTGGACCCCCCAACTCAAGAAAATATTAAGAAACTGGAAAAGACACAAAATAGAGCAGTGAGATTCATAACAAACAAATATTCACATTTGACTAGAGTAACACCTTTAGTAAAATCACTAAATTTAGAAAGCCTTTAGGATATAAGTAAAGTAGCAATTATACATAAAATACTGAACTATAATCTTCAAATACAAAAACAAAATTTAATAAAATACTCTGAAAGACACACAGATAAAGGCACATTCCTCGTTTCATATGCTAGGACAAATTTGTACAAAGGCTCCTTTGGAAAGAAATTTTACCAACTAATGTAAAATTAAGCAATTTCTAGTAATCTTTGGAAAGGAATGCTTCAATATTTTAGTAATGAGACCATGTACTTTAAAAAAAATTCTAACAACAAAAGCTGCTAAGACATTAGCTTAAGAAGCTTTTCCATTATTTTTAAAATGTGTTTGTTGACTTTAAATTTGTTTGCAATGAAATATCAATTATATCAAGAAATTACATAGACAAAAATGTATACCTGGCGAGGTATTCGAATACTAGTCCCACGATTGGCCACACCAGCGGAAAAGTCATGAATGCTAGATGTCTCATGCCGACCAGTTAGACGACGCTCATTATCTTTGCCCTCCCGGGGATCATAGGCCTTGATGTGTCGTACATGGTGTTTGGAAAGCTTGTCTATGGCTTCTTCAATGGCTCTGAAATATTAGAATATATTAATTTCTTATCAAATACTTTTAAATGTTTTTAAAATATTTAGATTACTTTAATCTCATGCTTGGGTGTTACATGACCCATGGAGAATGTTAATATTTCTCAATACATAGACAAGGACTTTGTTAGGTATTGACATTAGTGTTCTATTTTCAGAGCTTGGAATGGTCAGTAAATGACTTTTAAAAATTTTAAGTTGTAGACTTTAAGTTATGGTTATTTTTTTTTGCTTCAAA